CTGTACTGTGCCCAATACTGTTGATAACAGGCTATTACCAACCCAAGGTTACTTACTGCTTCAATTGACCTTACAACCTCAATACTATCTAGGGGGTGTTCCTCAACTCATATACTTACCTGCAGGAGACCTAACTGGCTTATGAATTAATAACCATTGTTAGGTATTTTCGTTATAACTTTTGTTTTGTGGTGCATGATGCATGAATCCCAAACTCTCCGTTCATGAGGGAGAGAGACGCCTGGGATTCGAGCCCGATAGCCACACCTGGAACCAAATAAGGATTCGGTCCGCAGCTGCGATCCAATTAACCCCAGAAATACTAGGGAGCATTACACTTATATTGTGCCTCCCCTTGTTTATCTTTTCCTCAACCCTCATCAACATGCTAATGAAATTTCTAAATTAAACCTTCCCGTTTTCATTACATACCTTATTTAGGAGTGCCTCACTGGGTCACTGCTATTCCCTATACAAATCAGGCAGATCATGGCTGGTGGGAGGGACTGGCAGGGTGTTGTACACAGCTTATAGAAAACATTACAGTACTCTGACTCGCTATCCTTTTAAGAGCCCTCGTGTCACCCAAAAAAATGGGCTGAAAATCTCGGCTTATACTCGAGTATATACGGTAAGTAGTGGGCTGGCTCCAGTGGAGTGGAGTTATACAAATATTAAAATGCCTTGATGAGTGGATGTCATTCTGGAGATGTGGGAGTTCCTAGGCAAGCTGTATTTGCAGGCAGACTGTCCTAGGTAATGTCCACATGTGATGCTGAGCCTCTATGATAGAAAAAAAATCTGAACTCCAGTGAATCAAAGGAGTGGGCCAGGGACCGCAAGGCTGTGGAGGAAAGTGCCAAATAATGTTGGATGTTCTATAGCCAAGAAATAAAGTGGGCACTATCTGACTTGCTGCAGCTTCTAACGCACACTGTGAGAAGTAGGGATGCACTGATACTAATATCGGTATCGATGCCGAGTATTTGTACTCGCCCAAATGCCCCGATACCTTCCCCGATACCAGAACTTCCGGTCGGAGGGAGATTTCCTCTGACCAGCAGTGCCGCGAGGGAACATGGAGCCGGCTTCCAAGCCAATCAGGAAGACGGGTGGTGGGTAATGAAGCTTAAAGCATGCAGTGAAGTCACACTCAGAACTTTCAGTACAGCAGAGGAGCCTGTACAACTGTACAAGCCTGAAGATTAGGCTGGAATTCATCTTGAAGCTTGCCTGTCTCTTCCAGCTTATCACGCAATCCTACTAGCCAAATTATAGAGAGAGACTATTAGCAATGTGTGGTTGGTGGGAGGAAGTGGCAAAGGTCAAAATAACATGCCCCAGCCTTGCCCATCAAAATGGCCTGAGTTTGGGATAGAACAATGGGGGTGGAGGCTGCTGTAGTTACATGAGGTGCCGTACATCTTATTTCTGACCAAAGCAACTTTGCCAGCAGCACAAAAACACTTCAAAGCCTCTCTCTGGAGAAAAAATAAACTCTTGCTATGGGGCTGCAATGGTTAAATGCTTGTTTAGGTCTAGGGTGCCTGGAAAAAGAATTGTTACTTACCTAACCCTAGCTCCAGCAGACTCCCTCCAGGTTTTAAGAATGGCACCCCCAGCGTCTTTCCCCACCCACACAGTCATCAGTAGACATGTAAATATTGTTTCATTCCAAATGCAAATATGGAAATTTTGTGAATTCGGACATTCATTCGAACGTCCGAATTCCAATGAGGCGGAACGCAAACTAATCCTAATGTTCTTTTAACGAAATTTAGGATCATCCAAATTCCGTTCAAAACCAAAATAAATCAGACGCGTTACTTTTTGGGCTAATCAGAAACTAAAAGGAAATTCCAAAACACCCGAAACCCAAAAGAAAAAAAAAAACTACACATTTTTTTGCCGTCTAGTGGTCAGAGGCCCTTTGGCGTCATGACCACAAGCCTTCCTAGGGGACCAGAGATCAGGTAAGTAATTTAATTTTAAATGTGAGTTTTTATGTACTTTTCTTAATAAATGGTCTCTATATGCTACACAATGAGAAGTTTTTTCTTCTTATAATTTTGGCAATCTATTGATTTATGGAACATCGCTGTGAGAGCTTATAAAACAGCTCCTGGGACTTTGTGGTCTATCATTGAGCTTCCTATGGTTAATATACAATAACATTGCGGTGAGTGTGCACTCCTGAGGGGGTGTTGGCGTGGACACAAACATGGTTTGGGAAGGATCATCAAGCACTTTTGGGACTCTTTTTCTACACACGTTGGATATATTAATACTTACTTTCACTATCTATTATTGATCAACCACATTGGATATACTATAAGTTCCTGGACTTTTATGAACTTATTTATTGAATATATCATAAACAAAACCTCTTTTGATTCAACATATGCAAATATATAAATCGTGAATTCATGTGCTAAAGGTATAAGCCATTACCTCAATATAGACTGTAGATCAATACTGGTCATAGCACAATTATGACCAGTATTGATCTACAGTCTATATTGAGGTAATGGCTTATACCTTTAGCACATGAATTCACGATTTATATATTTATTTGCACATGTTGAATCAAAAGAGGTTTTGTTTATGATATATTCATGCAAAATTTACGGTTATTGTCTTATCAATAGCCTTTAGATTAGACCCATAGCGCTGCATACCTATTATTATTTACAAGTAAAACCCAATAGACCCCTGCCCCTAGACTTAAACAAGCAGTTGACCCTTGCAGTACAGGAAGAGCCCCACTGCAAGGAGAGTTAGGTGCAAATGAAGTTCAGTAAACTTCTATCACATACAGATATTTGATGGGCTTTAGGTGCCTAGTTTTCAAAACTTAGTGGCATGAATCCAATTCAGTTTACATACTGGCTGCTGAAGGACACAAATCCAATTCAGTTTGCATACTGGGTGCTGAAGGACATGTTGCAACCCAATTGAACAGCCAATGGAGACCCAACTTTAGGCCTGATGTCCTGTAGTATGAGCTGGATTTTTTTCATTCCTTTCCTATATGAACCTTTTGTGCAAAACAGGATTTTCGCTTGAAACAAACTGAGAATCATCTGAACAATTACATGCATTGAGGCCGTTTGTTATTGTCGTAGTGTTGCTGGGTTTGTTCTTGAACTATCATCACAGCTTGCGATACCAATGTCATACATGTACTACGTTTCATAAGGCACACGGCTGTAAAAATTGAACTTGCATCATTTTTTGTTTACGGATCAGAATGCAGGTATATTGTTTTCAATGGGGACATACGCACAGGTGCGTAAACATGCGCTACGTTGAGATCCGCAACACAAAATCTGAGTACATCAATTTCTGTTGTAAATTTTGGACTTGGTGCAAACCCAGTTCACCCAAGCCCACTCAAAACTGTGACCGCCACTTCCCCCTCCGGCCCAATCAGTGCCCACAGTTGCAGCGGGAGCATTTTCTGCCCCTTCAGCAGCAGGGCAGGGAATTCTCCTCTCTGTACTGGAGTGGGCTGGGAGGAGGGTGGGTGGCAGGCATAGTTTTGAGCAGACGTGGCCTGCACCAAGCCTCATCACTAGTGTTTACGCATCTAAAACACAAGAATTTTCGTGATCATGCGCCCCAGAACTTTTTGTCCAAAAAAATATGCGTAAATGATCAGTACATTTCTTACAGCTGTGTGCAGATAGCCTTAATCTGTAATACCAGGGGTGGGCAACTCGTGCCCTCCTGCTGCTGTGGAACTACAAGTCCCATGAGGCATTGCAAGACTGACAGTCACAGGCATGTTGGGATTTGTAGGGCTGGAGCTGCCCACCCCTGTGTAGGACATCTCATACATGGTATAATCACAGTACATGGTATATTGGATGTCAGTTTGGTATAATCAATAGAAGTAGACATCATTGGATACATGACTGGAACGCTCAGTCATGTTGAAATTTGCACATACATTTGAGTCATTGTAGCTGTCAAAATGCAATTGTGAGAATTTTTCAGCCCAGCACTGTATTAACTTCACAGCCTCTGACAAGTGTGATTTTGCCATCTTCTGAAAACCTTGAATGTTTTTATATGGTTTTGCTTAGCCTCTGCTATTCAGTCATTGCTTTTTAAACCTTTCCCACCAACAACCACTTATGTGAGCAAAAAATGTATACTGCTCAACGCAGGCATTAAGGAAAAATTATTTTGAGGGATAGATCTCTGGAAAAAAAATAAAGCAAGAAGTCATGCACAGAGAGGTAGAATGAAAGAGCCCTTCTGTGATGTAAAATCCTGTAGGGTGCACATGGACACTTATCTTCCTATGCACACCCTCCCCACCTGAGGCACTCCAGATAAAAGGGGCACACATGAAAGGTGCCTTGGCATCACATATTTCATGCACCGGGCACCACACCAAGGAAACATATGGAGCTCATCTCCAGGAGCAGATAATCACAGGACACACGAGGAGATCCCTGGGGAGGGTCTGCCAGTTAAATCCACAATCCGCATTTCCTGTAGTTTGTATTATATCATTCTGGGAATGAGGATTAAATATTGTTTATTATTATTATTATTATCATCATTATCATCATCATCATCAAACACATTTTTTATTATTGTAAAACACAAACTGCTAAATATAACTGTTTGCTGTAAACACCTTCCAGTGTTATGAAATAATACTGGTCATTTATACAGAAAAATGACCATTGTGAAAGCAATCTTCCATTGCACATATGTATAGATGAAGTATTGGCAGCACATTAGCTGGAGATCAGCTGTGATATTCATTCTCCCCCATCATATTGCAATGTATGGAGTCAAGCATCGACTAATAACATTTCCAGCCAATGAACTGAACTTATTGATACAGGTAAAGGCTGTATATACATGCCAGGGAGGTGTGATATGAGATCTCCCCCAGCGATCTATGTATGCCCTGTACAATGCACCATGCATAGCAAGAGAAGCTGTATGTGGGAAGCTGACACCTGATGCACACACATTACCTTCTGCTGCCTCCTGGTCATGTCGGTGGGCTGCTTGGCATTGAACGGGTAGGCGATACACCTCATAATGAAGACATAGAGCTGCAGCCGGCTCTTTCTTTCCCGTTCCTCCCTCTGAGCCCTCTCCTGCTCCTCTCTGCCCTCGCTGTTGATGGACGGGCTGGGGCTGTCTGGTCTGGTCTGGGTAATGTCCCTGGAATCCCGGGAAGGTGCGTGCAGAGTGCGGTGACCGGCTCCTCCACTGGAAGACACAACCAGCACATCCCTCCGGTCTTCTTCTAACAAGTCATCCCACTCTTCCTCGCTGGAAGACGGATCCAACATTGTCCCCGCTCGTCACTCCACTTACTTCCCCGTTCCTGATCCTGTGTCCCTTGTAGCCTGTGCGAGGAAGCACACACCTTTCCGGTGTTCGACTATAGGGAGCACCCTCCGCCGCCCTACAGACGTGTAGGCTCCTCCCTGACAGCCGCGGGGTGCTCAGCATTCAGCCGGAGCTGGGGGGGTCACTCTTCGGATTCCTCTAATGTATCTACTGCTTGAAACTCACTTTGGACTGGAGGTGAACTCCATATAGGTACAAAAGATGCCCCCAAATGCATTAGCTGCTTAAACTCCACTTTGAGCTGGAGGTGAACTCCATATATGCATAAAAATAGTGTCATCTAATGTATCTACTGTTTCAATCTCTCTTTGGACTGGAGGTGAACTCCATATATGTATAAAAATAATGTCTTCTAATGTATTTACTGCATAAATCTCACTTTGGACTAGAGGTGAACTCCATACATGTATAAAAATAATATCTTCTAATGTATTTACTGCTTAAATCTCACTTTGGACTAGAAGTGAACTCCATACATGTATAAAAATGTTAGCTAATGTACTGCTTAAATCTCACTTTGGACTGGAGGTGAACTCCATATATGTATAAAAATAATGTCATCTAATGTATCTACTGCTTAAATCTCACTTTGGACTGGAGGTGAACTCCATACAGGTATACAAATAATGTCATCTAATGTATCTACTGCTTAAATCTCACTCTGGATTGGAGCTGAACTCCATACAGGTATAAACGTAATGTCCTATTTAATTATTATTTCTTATTAATTTGTTTTTAGTTTTTATTTATTTATTTTTTATTTGCTATCACACAGGAGCTAACAAGCTCTCTTTATTGAACCCGTCACCACCAATACAGCATTGTACTGGAACTCTTGTGACTGCTGAGAGGGGAAGACAACTCTCCCCTCTTACTGTTTAGACAGAGCGGCAGGGTTAGTTTTAACCCTGACACTCTTCTCCCTGCTCTCCATCCTGAAGAAATCCGGAGGAGGCCAGCAAGGAGAGATACTCGGCGGCTGGGGGAGGACGGAGCCAGCGAGAAGAGAGGTAGGTGCGGGGGGTGGCGGGGGGAGGATGGACAGGCTGCAGTCTTATTTTAAGTGAGCTTGGCTACATCGTCGAGATCATTTGTAAACAGGGCTAAATGTAGAAAACAACTTAACGCCCGGTGGCCGGAATTGCATGTTCCTGGCGTCGGGGGATTCCATACCTCTGCCGCCCCTCTGATTCCTGCCGCCCTGAGACCGGGCCTCGGTGGCAAATCCGGCCCTGCCTCTAATATTAGACGTGAGATTCGTTTCGTTCCGAAATATGCAAAATCCGAATCAAAACAAAACTAAACTAAACAATTTTTTTGCTGGTGCACATGTCTATCTAATATATCTACTGCTTGAACCCCACTTGGAGCTGGAGGTGAACTCCATAGATGTATAAAATAATTTCCTTTAAAGTGACACTAGACTCAGGAGTTAAATCTTAGAATTGCATTCAAGTACCTTAACTATTCACAAAAATCATCTCTGAATTGTTGCTGACACGGTCCTTCCTTCTGGAGGGTGACTACTTTTGTTCCCCATGGTCCCTGTGTGTTCTAAAGTAATCAACGCTCCAAGCTCACTCCTGTGATGGACCGCAATCTCAATACAAATTAGCTAACTAAACGAGATTGTAGTCCATCATGGGAGCGAGTTTGGAGCTCTTTCCTAATACATTTAGTGCTTGAACCTCACTATGAACCGTAGGTGAACTCCATGTACAAAATGATTTTCTCTAACGCAGTTACCTCTTGAATCCCACTTTGAGCTGGAGGTGGGCTACATACAGGTATCAAAGAATTTCCTCTAATGCATTGAGCTGAAGTTGGGTGCTGAAGATTCATCTGCAACTTGTTAGGTCACTCTCTGTGAATGTTCATAATTTCCCCCTAATGCATTTTCTGCTTGAACCCCACTTTAATCTAGAGGTAACCTCCATGTAGGCATTCATTATAGTCCAGCTTAGGTCAAAAGTGGACATCTAGCTGTGAATTGTCACTGACTCACCCTCGAAGCATTTTGCACAAGCATATTTCTGATGCATCCAGTGATATCCTCAATAACAGTTACTGAGGACGATTCAGTAAAGACTTCCCAAAACAATTCCGACATTATGGCTGTATCTAGAACTCTTTGGCCAAGTGTTTGTGACATTTTTATAATGTATTAGTTTTCATTTGCAACACTTTTCCATACAATAGAGCCCAAGGGCCATGCTACAAAAAAAAAAAAACAATGAAACTAAATTCTGAATTTGAAAGTCAGAATTCTGTGTTTGAAAGTCAGAATTTTGTGTTTGAAATTCTGAGTTTGAAACTCATAATTCTGACTTTTAAACACAGAATTCTAACTTTTAAACACAGAATTCTGACTTTAAAAGTCAGAATTTTGTTTCATGGGTTTTTTTAACATGGCCCAAGGGCTCTTACGTATTTCCAAGATGTCTCTCTGGCTGTGCCAAATTAATTAACAAATACTGTTTTGTAGTTAAGAAAATTGAAGGTAATTAGGACCAGTGTAATTTTGGAGTAAACATTGCCATGCTAGGATGCTGTCAGAACACAGCCTCATTGGTTGCTAGGACACTGTAGGTCCACAGCATCACTGGTTGCTAGGATGCTGTTGGCCCACAGCTTCACCGGTTGCTAGGACACTACCTGTCCACATTGTCATTGGTTGCTGGCACAATGTTGGCCCACAGTGTCACTGGTTGCTATGAAACTGTCAGCTGCACAACATTCTTGGTTGCTAGAAAGCAGTAGGCTGTACATTACAACCAGTGAAGCTTTGCAACCAACGGTGTCATAGCAACCAAGGACACTGTGCAGCTGACAGCATTGTGCATATGTGGATTGATGGGTATAAGTATTTGGATGGATGTTGGAGTGGGGGTAACTTAAAGGATAAGGATTCGAAAATATAGTTGAAATATACTGTATATTTAGCTGTTTTACCCACTAAAGGATTTTATTTCTGTCCATTTAGTCCTGTGACTTACACAGATCAGCCAAACAGCAGAGCCAGCTTTCTGATCTGGCTCATCTCTACTGAACTTAAGCAATACTGTCTGGTCACTTCTCTGCCCCCAGTCTGTGATAGAATAGTAAAAGAGCAGCAACAGACTGATGAGCTCATTACTCTGCTCTCATCTCCTGTCACCATGTTCCTTGTTCAGCACATGTGCATGCAAGACACCCAGTTAGACCCAAACACTGCCCCTACCTCTTCCAGTCTGGCCTCTGCTCCACATGAGCCCAATGTTATATAAATACCTGCAATAAAAAAATAAAGCTGAAGGCGTTAGGAGACCCTGTCAATTTAGCTTAAACAGCAAAGTAAACGGTCTCTTTAGGGAATACATAAATTATCTTTTTTTAATAAATACATTTCTGGAGTTCAGCTTTAAATAAAATAAAATCCAACAGGGAGAGCAGGGGCGGATCCAGAGGCTATTCTCGGGAGGGGCACTGCCAGAAAATTAAGTTTTGCTTACAGAACGGTTAATATTTTATTTAAGACGGTTTCCCGGCCAACCACAATTAAGCAGGCCAAACAACATGCAGCCGGCTTCCCGGGCAATCAGGAAGCCGGTTGGCATGTCATTACCCGCTGCCGGCTTCCTGATTACCTGGGAAGCCTGCTTCATGCCAGTGGAAGCACCGGTATTGGTATTCAGTATCGGCGAGTACCAAAAGCAAAATATCCGTACTCGTACTTGATACCGAAAAAACGGCATTGGTGCATCCCTAGTTTTGATTAAAACTATTTTTTTGTATTGGGACGAGTAGATTGTCATGAAGGGCTAGTAGATTCGGCCACCGCTTTAGCCCTTGGACAAGTGTTTTTTTTTTTTAAATTTCCACACCCTTCCGCCACTGAGGGAGAGTGGGCGGCTCTCATACAGCAAGAGTGCAGACCCAGGAACTCAAGCTCAATCTAACAAAAATTTAAATATCAGTTTAAAGCCGACTGATCCTTTAACATGTCTATGGTGGGTTATTTTTTAGTAGTATAATGTATATTTTCACTTGTCAGGCCTGTAAAATACAGGTCAAGTGGTAACCCTAAATACAAGACGACTGATGTTTAGTTGCAAATTTAATGATGTAATAACTGCACTCATTTATAAGAAAAAAAATCAGAACACTAAGTGGAGGTGCTACCTATAAAAACTGATCAGGGTTTGCGATCCCTTCCATAGGACATTAAAACAAGTCAGATGTTGCTGACATTGGATCAAGTGCTGTTTGACTTCACCTTAAAAGTGCATCATAACTATTCAGCGAGTGACGTTACTGAAGGGGAGCACAAGTGGTGCCGACTCTTCAAGTGGATATTTTTGTAGACATAATTTTCTTTTTCATAGTGGAACTTTATTTAATTATATGCCTCTCTCGCGGACATCAGGGAGCTGCTGTCCAAAAGAGGGAGACTCCCTGAACATCAGGGAGACTTGAGATCCCTGACATATTGGATTCATTTATATTCATTTTTCATACAAGGATAGAATAACTGTAAAAACATTTTTCTATGATGATGGATAAGGTGTATGCAAATATTTTTTTGATTTATTTTTTCACATAACACATTTATTTATTTATTAATTTATGTATGTATGTATTTATTTTATTCATCTATTTAGATTATTTGATGTATATTTTGTATAGATAGCATATTGGAATGTATGTATTGGAATTGTTAATGTGTCAGGGTACCGTGCGCGGGTGTCCCCACACCGCATGCAGGTACCCACGCAGGAGGACCAAATTAGTATGACCACACTAGACAAAGTTTATAAGCACACAGTTTATTGAACACACCAAAACCATAAAAACACAAGACAACCCCACCAACACCCACAAGTATCAAACAATAACCCAGGAAATGCAAAACAACAAACCCACATAAAAAAGGGCAAGTGAAACCTGGGGAGCACGGCAACACAAGGGGGAGCCACGGAGCAATGGTCAGGGTACAAGGGGGCATCAAGAAATGGCGACAATACTGAGCCAAAGTCCTGGCTGCAGGGAGGGATTAAATACCCTC